AGGCTTTGCTTTATGCCTTGCTGTGATGCTCTTGTCACTGCAGGGAGCGTGGGGTGGGGTGTAGTGAAGGGTATTTAGCTGGGATGGTGTGCCCTGCATGTGCCAGCCATGCTACTGCTGTGACCCCACCTGCTTCTCCTGTATGGAAACAGCAGCGTCGCTAGAGGTAGCCCTGCCTCCGGTGACGCACTGACAGCCCTCCACACGCATGCTTCTTCCTGGCAGTGATGAAGACGGGCGAGAGCGGCCTGACAGTCTTCCGCCTGCTGACGAAGGAGAACTGCTGGAAGTGGGTGCAGGCCAACGCGCGGCTTGTCTACAAGAACGGCAAGCCTGAGTACATCATTGTCACACAGAGACCTCTCGTGTAAGTGCCATCCAGGTTAGCCCAGGCTGGGATGGGGATAGGGCTGGCCTTTTCCATCACTGTGGACTCTGGGATGTCCCAGGCAGGGCAGGATGTTCAATTCATCATTGCTACTTTTAAAGGAGCAACCATAGGATACTGTGCTTTGAAGCTGCTCAGTCACATCCACCTCTGCAAGGCCAAGAGCAGTGCTGGAGAGCAGTGCCCTGCACCTCACATCCCTGCCCTGGTGTCCTGGGCACAGGTCCAGACTTGGCCTGGGGAGACTCATGGCTGCTCTCCAGCAGCTGTAGGGACAGGTAGGTGCAGGAACAGCAAGGACCTCAAATGTGGCTGCCATACAGCAGCAGTCCAACACCCCTGTCTTGAGGGGTGGCTGCAGCGTAGATGAATAGGGCAAAGGTGCGACTTCTGTCTGGCAGAGCTCTGTTATACTTTGCCTGTTAAGTATCCTTTTGGTTATGCTACTGATGTGTGTTTTTAGGTGTGCGTGTATATAAAAATGTGTATATGCATGTATATTTGTATGTAAATGCATATGTAAATGTATAAGTTTGTGGTTCTGCTCAGTACATGGATGCTGGTCATAGCAAAGGGGCTTTGGCTTGCAGGAATCACAATTATCCATTGTGCAGAAGCAGTTTGTGGCAGTGTTTGTGCAAATACAAGCCCCAGTCCCCTCTTCTTACCCTGCAGAGATGAAGAAGGACGAGAGCACCTTCGGAAACGGTCCATGCATCTTCCCTTTACCTTTGCTACAGGAGAGGCACTCTTATACCAAAGTGCTTACCCTCTCCTAGGCTTCCCTGACACTTTCCAGAGCAAAGGGAAAACGAGCAAGTCCAAGAAGACCTCCCACAGCCACAGAGGGCGCTCCCAGAAGGATGGCGTTGACCCCAGTTCTCTGCTGGGCACCATGATGCGACAGGACAAGGCGGTGTACATCTCCCATCCAGCTCCCGCACCTAACCACTCCTTCGGCAGCAGTTTTGTGGACCACCCTGAGGATGTGTCCTTGCTGGATGCAGGAGGAAATGCCTGGAGTATGGATGCTGCTCCAGGTTCTTCAAGCGGGCACAGCCTCAAAGAGGAACTGGTGGATTTGCAGCAGGAGGACCCTCTCTTGGCCACCCTGGACTCGCTCTCAATTAAGAGTGATGAGAGCTGTTCCAACAATGAGCTGTTCAGTGCGCTGGAGGACCTGGGGTTAAATGCTGAAGACCTGGAGCTCCTGCTGCTGGATGAGAAAATGGTGATGGTCAATATGGACCCTGACCACACCCCATCCCTGAACAACTGCCTCTCCAGCAATGAGATTCTCTCCTACATCCACACCACTCTGGTGAACAAGCATGAGGGAGGACAACAGGTCTGTCCCCTGCCAGGTGTGTCCCCAAGCCCGCATAGAGGCACCGCTACGTACCAGGCCCACATGGAGGACAAGGACTCTCAGTATGTGCCCCAGCAAGTGGTGCAGCCCAGCATTGTCCCAGGCCAGCCCCTTGCTCCACTGTGGGAACAGCCTCTCCACAGTATGCCAGGACAGCTGCCCCCGCTGCTGCCAGAGCTGGCTAAGGAGGAGGAAGAGCCGTCTCATGGCTCACAGTGGAGGCCAGCTGGGGAGGAGGGTCTGCTCCGCTTCCTCCAGCTGGCATGGGGCACCCCATGGGATAAGACACCTGGCTCACCCCCAGGAGCCCCCTGCCTGCAGCAGCCACCCAGGGCTCTGCAGCTGGAAGGTGACTTCCCAGCCATGCATCCCACTCCAGAGGATGCTCACCCGTCCTTTTCCCTGCCCAGCCAGTGCCAGGGCCGCATGAGACCACCCAGCCAGCCGAAAATGAATGGGTTGTGCAGCCACAGCCCTGACTCTGCTCCACACCTCCTTCCCAGCAGCAGCCCCAGTCCATGGCAGGACTATGTTTGCCCGCTCCTGGGGTCCCCAGGTCAGCCTGGTTTTTATGGCATCAGCCAAGAGTTGGTCTCCCAGCACCAGGGGTGCTTGAGTCCAGGGCCTGGCGTGCTGGCGGTACACTTTAACCTGAATGGATTATGCAGCATGGGAACTGTGGGCAGGGGCGGGTCCCAGGAAGAGATGGTTCCATGCTCCAGGTTTTCCCCCCCCTGCTCATATCAGCTTATTCCTGAGAAGCAGCCAAGCCCTGTTCCCTCCATGCCCCAGCACCCTTTTCTGAGCTTGTCTGCAGAGCACTTAAGGAGCATCAGCAGCCCATTGGAGACTCCCGTGAACTCCTATGGGACATATGCCTCCACGCTGAGCCAGGAGAGCAGGCACAGGGTAAGGGCTTCACTTGTGTGCTCAGCTTTTTCTGTGCTGGAATTTCCTGGGGGTCTCAGCACAGGGAGGCACACACTGCCTGGTCAGTAGACAGGAATCGCCTTGCTCTAGCTGGTGCATGGCCAGAAAGGAAGACTTTAGAGGCTTTTCTTTGCACCAAGAGTTGAAGAGCAAGAGAGCTGAGTGTGAGTTCTTCCCTTTAGAATGTGGCTGTCTCTGGGTCTCATTTCCATATAGTTTGTTTAATTGCCATCTGTACAGGGAGTAATTCCAGCTGTGTACTGGTAAGCTTTGAAGAGTGGTACAAAGCACATTGTGAGATGAAGATCTGCTGTATCATAGTGTCTTTCCCTTGTGGAAGTGTCCCCTGGCCTCTGCACAACCCCTATTGAGAGCCCATCTAGCTGCTGATAGCCCTCCAGCATTACAAGGCAAGGTCTGCAGCACTGGATTTGAGCCTCTGGGACTGGAGCCAACAGCCCAAACCAGGGCTGCTTGGAGAGGGCGCAGGGAGTGAAAGCTGCCTGGCCCTTTCCCCTCTCCCTGGTGCAGATGCCATGCATGTCTGTAAGGGCCATGAGCTTTCTGGGCTGGGGCTGACAGCATGGAGAGGTGGTCTAGGTCCTGGAGGAGCCCATCTCTGCAGTGATGCTTCCCTAGCCTGTGGCACCACCAGTCAGGGTGAGATGTCTAGGGTGGGTCTGGCCTGCCTTCCTGCTTATCCAGTTGTGCCCTGGTGAGTACTGTCCTCAAGCCATCTTGTTCCTTGCTGCCAGACATCTTTTGCTACTGGAAGGGTGTCCTGCTGTCTCACAGGGATCTCTGTGTTAACCTCTGCAGCCAGCAGAAGCTGTCAAAGCATCTTCCACTTCTTCCTGAAGGCCATACCTTGCACTTTGTGTCCTCCCATTCTCCATCTCCTCCAACTCAATATGCCACACACCTTCTAGCTCTGTTGAAGAGCTTGACTCTGGTCCTGCCTAGGGATTTGGGAGCTTGTAGGACCAGTGAAGAACATCCCCAACACCTCTCTAGAGCTCAGTGGCCACCTCACATGACTGGAGTGTTTTTTGGCTTTGGCTTGCCAGGTGGAGTGCAGTAAGGGTATAAGACCTGTGTGTTTGCTTCAGAGGCAGTCCAGGTGCTTGTGATATGCAGATAGGTTTCATGAGTGAGCTGTAGGGCTGTGATACCTGGTCAGGCTCTGCAGAGGTCAATTAGCAGGTCAACAGGTGAAAATTAGTGCTAGCCGAGGAGGTTGGATGCCACTTGTCCTCTATGTGCTTTCAGCCTCTTGTCAATGAAGTGATGGGTTGGCATTTGTGAGGGAGGACCTGGGGGAAGGTGTGGGGACATGCATGAGGTCTCTGCTAAGCCCCTGTACCACCAGGAGTGGTAGGCTAGGAGCAGACCTGCTCCCCCTTATGCCAGCCTCCTCTGAGCACCAGCACAATCAGAACTAGTAAAATGCTGCAAAATGCCTCAATGCTCTGTTTTCTCTCTCTTCTTCTAGCCTGAAAGCAGCTGTGTTTTACCCAGTGCTTCCATGGGACTCCCTGGAGACTGCCCAGTGCTGGCGGGGAGGCCAGCTCCCTCCAGCCAGCTGCAGCCCCAGACAGAAGTGCTGCCAGATCACCCTCATGCCTCCAGCAGTGACTTCTGTCTCTAGGAGAGAAAGACCCAACAGGACAAAGCAGGACAATTCCCTGGGAAAGGAGCTGCCTTCAAGTTGCAGATAACAAACCTTCCCCCTGCCATGATCTTGATGTTGGTTGCTTTGGTTGGGCTGGGTTTTCTTGTCTTTTTTTTTTTTTTAAGTTGTTTTTTTATCAACTTCTCCACCACCCTGCCCTGCTGAGGCTCCATGTGCCCATCCCATGGAGGTGTCCCTGGCCTGGAGAGGGTGGTAGCCAGCAGTGGGGCTGGAGGGCAGGCTTCACCAGGGCATGGGAGCAAGCTGGGCTGCAATGCGGGTCAGCTGGCACGTGCAGCCTCGTCTTTATCTTATGGTGTCCAAGAGTTGTGTGGCGCTCAGTCAGGTGGAGGATCTCAGAGCATGTTTGTCACTTGCTGTCTCTCATTCTGCCTGCCTGACCTCCTTGCTCTTGTTTCCCTGGTGGGGCAAGTGGCTGCCCATCCTGCCAGCATATCTTACTGAGAGCAAACTTTGAAATGCTTGGGCCTTTGGTGGTTGCTGCTGTCTTTTACATGGTGTTTGGAAACTAACTGTGGCTCTGGAAAGAAAGTAAAAGGATTGCTCTCTATCAGCAGCCAGGCTGCTGCGTTGAAGGTGTGACGTTTGTGTGGCAAATCCCGCGCTTTGCCAAGAAGCCAGAGAGCGAGCTGTCCATCACACCAGTCTTTCCAGTTCTGCTGTTAACAGAGTGCATTTTTTGGTGTGTTTTGCCAGGCTTTTGAAAACCCAGGCTGCTTCCACAGCTGTCAGTTGGCTCTCGTGATTTGGTAGTCCCCAACAGTGTCTATGGAAGGCAGCCCTTGCCCCGAAGGACAGGCGGGTTTCTGATAGCTAGTATCCTCCAGCTTCACCAAAGCTTTGCAATTACATGCATGATCCAACACAGATGCAAGACTTGTGTGTCCAAAAAAAAAACAAAACAAAAAACCAAAACCACCAGAGGTCAGCTGGGTCAGTTTTCATGTCTGGTATTAAATTTCCTGCCATTGGAGCCAGGCACCTGTGGCTGTGGCCACGTTGTACAGATATTGCCTGCTTCATAAAGAAAGTGAACCCTGACTTGTGTTCTTGTGTTGCACTGGTTGGTCCTTCCCCACTACCAGGTTTCCCCGTGTCCCAGGTGTTCCCATTTGTTAGGATCCAGTTTAGACCTCCTGTAAAAAACACCCTGGGTTTTGCTGTGCTATATAGGACGTGCCCAGGTTGGCTAATAAACAGTTTTTCTTTTGGGTGATGGGGCCTGAAGTACCTGAACAGGCAGCAAAGGTCATTCTCAAACAGTAGGAGCAGTCTGGCATATAAGCCATACCTTGCATCTGTGCCTAAAAAGATTGCAGATAAGTAGTGGAGCTGCCTAACCTAAGGAGATGATTTTAGATTTACTGTAAAAAAAAAAAAAAAAAAATCGGTAAGGCAAAGAAAATAAGCATAATGATACTTAACATTAAGTACGGATAGAGTGATATTTTCCCACAGAAATAAATACAGCCCATACACATGTATATAATGAGTTGATGATTTATTTTTATGCCACTCCAGTGGAGGGGGAAAAAAAACCCATCTTACTTTTCCAAAGTAGCATGCTATGGAATGGGACAAGGAGGCTGTTCCAAAGTTTGGAATTACAGTAACCCTTTAAGAAACCTGACAACGCAGCATCCCTCCTCCTGTGCGTCCAGCTTTGGTTTCATGTGAAGTTTCTATCCTTTTCCTTTCAATAAACGATTTTGGACCTCAGCCCCTGACATCTCCCTTGCTGGTTGTGTGTCTCTTCCCCGTCTCAAGCATGCCAAGGTTTGGCTGGCTGCAGCATTGGAGCCCGAGTCCTGCTGCTGGTGACCCAGGACAGCAGCCACATGTGAGGGATGCAGGCAGGGCTCACCCCTGCGTGATGGAGGCGGTTGCAAGCTGTGCAGTCGAGGTGGTTAAGAGACTTTCTTCTGTGCGTTTTCCTGCACCAGAGGAAGGCAGAGCCCCTCAAAGGCTCCCAGAAAGGAGCTTTCTCAGCTTGTACCTGCTTTTCCTTGTTCCTGTGAGTGTCCTCAGGCCATCTAGTGGAGAGAGGCCAGCTTGGGGACCTTTGTCCATTGCCTCGGTGAAGGGCTGAGGTTTACAGGGCTGGAGAAGGGGGCAACTGAGCTTCCATGTGAGTTTGGGGTGCAGTCTGCCTTGGGTACTAGGCTCTGGTTCCTGCTAGCCTGTAAGAAGCCCTCTGTTCAGGGACATCCAAGCTGCTGCTAGGTGATGCTCAGCCCCAGAGAAGAAAATTTCCTCTGTGTGTGATTGCTCTTGGTTCTGTATTGTTGTCCCCTCCAATGCTGGGGTCTGCCATGTGTAGGACATAGCCTGGAAGAACTAAAGGTGAAGCCATCATTGAGATGGCGGGCAGCCACCCTATCCCAGGAGCACCTGCAGCCTTTGGGATGCCAGGCACACATCACCCATCTTCCAGCTCCTGCCATGGATGTCCCTGCAGCCCCACAAGTACCTGGAGGTCACTTTCCAAAGTGCTGGAGACATTGGTGGGCTGGGTAGGGCTGGACTGTGCAGTGGGCACAGCTGCTGCCTGTCTGGTTCATGAGCATTATCCCTTTATCGCGGGAGCATCTTTGGCCAGCTCCAGTGGGTGACACCACCTGGTCTTCAAGGTGGGTTGTGGATTTGTACACCCTGGTGATGGGGCATTTCAGAGGGCTGATGGGATATCCTGGAGGTTGATTGTGACTCCTCTCTAGAGAAAGCTTCGTGTGCCCATTCTGTCCTTTGGGAATCAACAGGCATGTGGGAAGAGGCAATAGGGTGGGATGGTGAACCCCAGTCTCTCAAAAGAAACAAGCAGGTTAAAAGCAGCTGGCAACCTGAATATTTAAATCTCAGTAGGTTTGGAGACCTAGGAATCAACTGAATCTCTGATCTGGTGATCTGAATTGTCTAATGATTTTAAAGGAATGGGGGGAAAAAGCAAATATTCTGCCGATATTTAGAAAGAATCAGGTGGGATAACTGGAGCCCAGCAGGTCAGGTGAGTTTATATGGACCGAGGCACGTTCTCCAGAAGGGAAGTCTGTTGTTCCAAAGTGAAAAGGTTGTTCCTATTATTCAGTTTGATCTTTATGTGAAATAAAATTTGGGTGGTTTGGGGGTTTTTTTATTATTATTTAAAAAAAAAATCAGAAATAATTTTGAAATTAACTGAGAAATATGATGGAGAAGGGTGAGCATGTGGTTACGACAGACTTCTGCGAGAGCTTTTTGGTCATCCTGCATGACCACAAGATTTAAGAAGGTATCTGCAATATGAATATGCAGAACCAGAAGCTTCCTCGTGGCTGGGCCAGGAAAGCTCTTTCATACAAGAGTTTAAATGTGAGCTTAGCTCAGGTTTGGGCTAAAAGTGCAAAGTTTTCTATGAAATCAGTTGTACAGCCCTATATATATAAAATAATATCTAGAGATATATAAATATAAAATTATATACCTATAAAAGGTCTGTATAAGATAAAATTACTTTTAAGACAAACTAGCTGATACTTTTCCCCTGTGTTGTTTTTTCAATCTGGAAATTAGAAAAAACACAGGGTTTTTTTTCTGAATATTAAATCTTAAAACATTCCTACTTCCTCCTGGCACCTGCTTTTCCATAACATAATAAGGCAGTATCATAACATTTCTCAAGTTTGACAGAGACATGCTGGGACAATTAGGTCTTTTACACTTTGTGCCCTGTTCTGGTTTTTCTCCCTTTCCCTTCCTAAGGAACAGGCTGCAGGATAGCATCACATGCACTGATGGGGATGGAGGGACAGCCACTCTCAGCACTGCGGCACGGGCACCACAGCAACCTTGTGGCTGCAGGTCACTGACTTCCAACAGCCCATTGAATCCCAGGTGTTGAGAACAACCTGACTGCTAGCCAATGTCCTCCTTGAGCCAGGTCCTGGATGTGCAGGTAATCATACCATCACCAAATACCCTGACTGGTTTCTCCTTTTCCTTGCTACTTGTCTCCACAGCCCCAGGAGCTCCCCAGCAGCCAAAGGGACCTAAGGAGGACTGCACTCCTCCTGGCTTTGTCACCAGGGTGCTGTGCTTGGCCACAGTATCAAGTTGTCTGGTGCTGTGTTTCTGTGAGGTCTATGGAGCAAAAGCCATAATCTCTGCAGCAGGAGGTGCCCTGCAGCAGGTGCCCCCTGCTCTTCAAGGAGGCTGGCACATCCATAATTCATGGCCATCCTCACATCAGCTGCTGCTTATCCTCCCCTGGGCAATGACTTGCAATGCACTGGACCAGCCCGAGGAGCCCGGCTGAAGCAAAACCTCCTGTGTGAGCTGCAGCAAAGGAAAAGTCACCGTTTGGCATCCAGGCATCTGCAGCCTGCCCTGAGCCACAATGGTAGAAAAGGGGAGTCAAGCAGATGTGCTGTTGCACTCTTGTTCACATGCCTGGGGTGAGCGCTGTCTCATGGGATGCACTCACCCTGGGAGAGCTGGATGAGCCCGAGGAAAGTGTGAGAAAAGAGTATGGAGAGATTTGGGGTTGCTTGTGTAGCTCTGGGCTTGGCTCTGTCTGGGAAAGGGCAGGAAGAGCTGTGGTGCATCCTCACAGCAGGGTTAAGATGTGTTTGGGAAGCCTTCCTCTGGCTGTACTGGGGAGAGGGAAGTCCTACAACTGGCACTCAGCTCTGCCTACACCTTCCTTGTCTGCACCCTCCATGCACTCTGCTCTGCCTCCATGCCCAGGGCCTACTGTCAACTCTGCCGTGTGGTTGTGGGCAGCCAAAATTACATGACTTAAGCGTGGATCCAAGAGAACCAATTGTTAGTTAAGTTAATGTTTGTATAGTCCAAGCAAAGGCTTATTTCAGTCCAGTTATCGTCCAGTTGAGTGCCTCGCAGGCACTGATGAGATACAGCCTGCTCATGTGTGGTGATGGGGGTCGGCAGTTAAGAAGGGCTGAGCCCAGGTGAGCCCT